ATTAACAGCTCTTCTATTCACCTACACCTGGTCCTATACGTCTACATATTAACACTCTTCTATTCACCTACACCTGGTCTATACATCTACATATTAACAGCTCTTCTTCACTTGTATTCACTTCTGTATGAATATTTTACATGGAGTAAGATAACAATGTCTGTACATAATTGAAACCTAGTTATTTGATACTATACTTGAGTGGATAATTGTTCACACAAATAAACCATGTCTGCAAGTAATCCACACCTAATGATTTGGTACTATACTTAAGTGGATAACAGTTCACACAAATAAACCACGTCTGCAAGTAATCCACACCTAGTGATTTGATATCATAATCGAGTGCTACTTATAGTTAGCTAATTCTTCAAGCTGGTCTGTGTAGAATTAAACTTACAGTTTGGTTACCGGGGTTTCTTCAGGATGAAGAATACTCAGTTCACGAACCTCATACGACTGGCTGGTGAAATGTGATGAAATGTAATCCCCAGTCTTTATGGATCCATCAATAACTTCTACCAGAGCTATAGCTCCTCGAAAGTGATCAAACCAAGAATCAAATAGAAGTGCACGAAAAGGTTTCTGTGAGTCTCCAGGGGGTCTGTAAAGTTGAAGTAATGCTTGAAAACAAAACAATCTAAAACATATTTTTTAACTGTTTACAGAAAATTATTTTAAATCTTCAATTTCCTATTTAGTAAGCATTTTTCACAGGTAAATACTAGTAACCTTAGGAACTGTGTTTGTGTAACAAACAACTAATTTTACAATTTAATCACATCAGACACCTACAAATTTGTACCTGGATAGGTTGTGTGACTATCAAATTAAATAGGTAGTTTCCTCTGACCAGGAGGTTAAAATTATTAAACTACACTGAATGAGGGTCATAAAACAACCTGGAAAAACAAAACCTTCATCAGATTTGTTTTGTTAAGCACAAAGCTACATAATGTGTTATTTGTGCTGCACCCACCATGAGTATTGAAACCTAATTTGTAGCAGTGTGAGCTTTCAGACTTCCAGCTGAGCCAATGGAGAACCCGTGGGTATTGAAACCTGGTTTTTAGTGTTATGAGCCATCAGATCTTTAACTGAGGCACTGGAGAGCCCACGGCATTAAAACCTGGTTTTTAGGGTTATGAGCCATTAGACTTTCAGCTGAGCCACTGGAGAACTCATGGGAATCAAAACCTTGTTGTTAGCATATGAGCTATTAGACTTTCCACTGAGCCATTAGGGGATTCTTCATTGAAAAACTGATAAATGTTGGCATATTAAAATTATCAATTTTCACTTTTGCAAGTTACTTTGAAAGAAAAGCAATCATTCAGAAAATTCATTCCAATATAAACATGCTTAATAAATATCTGTAAAAAGCAGAGAAAATTAACTGATGGAAGTGATGCATTATTTGCTAAGAAAATTAATCTGTAATACAGAAATGTTACAGCACTATGCAAGTAATTACATAGTGTTGCATTATTTAAATGAAAAGTAAGCAATATAAGAAGAATAGTGTGTTACAGTATCATTACTTTACTTTCCAAACTGAGACTAAACAGCAATTACTTTACTTTTTAAAATATTTTACTATACATTTGTCAAATAAAAAAACACTCTTACGGTGGAATCCTTTCAACTACTGCTCTCAGAACATCATCTATTCCAGTTCCTAGCTTTGCTGAAACCTGTAATGGCACAAACCAAAAACCACTAATTAAACTTAAGAAAACTTGTGTGATTAGAGGTAGTTTGATGGTGCTGATTTCAAAAATTTAGTCAGAATTTGTTCATCGCTTCTATATTTTGAGTTATTATAATATCTCAATATTTTATCAGCACTATATGAAATACCATGGAATCATCTCAGTACAGTAGATTTAGGCTGTGAAGTTAAGTTTAGTTGGATAGTTTAATGGATAAAAGGCATAAATTTTTGATAACTTCAAACACTGACTGTATCGTATTGGTTTAAAATTCTAAATATATTGTTTATATGTGCTATTTGTTCTCAATATAATTTTAGCGAATCGCACCAGTTTTATTTCATTCCCACGATCACCTGCTCTGTCCGGGAAACATGAAACTTTCACATGCTCAGTCTGCTAGAATATTCGAGAAGTCCCTTGATTGAGCATAAAAGATGCCTCTCTCTCACTCAGTTCGTCACTTTGCTTTGCTCTGCACACAGTCAAAACAAAGTTTAATCTTCTTCCTCGCATGATACTCACAACATAAGTAAATTCTGCAAAACTTTGTTTTTCAAAATCTTTTAAACTCTGGTTTTGTAAATATAAATTATTTTATATTTGTTAGAAAATCATTTGAAATGCTGGCTGCCTCCAATTCTGATGCATTTGTGGAAAATATATTACACTTTCACAAAGGAAAAACATCACACAC